AGGCCAGGACAGCTAAACAGCCCCAGTTCCCTCAGCCACTCCTCATAAGACTTGTGCTCCAGACCCCTCACCAGCTTCGTTGCCGGTGAGGGGTCACGTCACAGAATCACTGAATCTTGAAGGTTGGAAAGGACCTTCAAGATCATCAAGTCCAACCATTAACCCAACACCACCATGTCCCCTAAACCATGTCCTGAAGCACCACATCCACACGTTTCTTGAAAACTTCCAGAGATAGTGACTCCACCATCTCCCTGGGCAGCCTGTTCCAATGCTTGACCACCCTCTCAGTAAAGAAATTTTTCCTAATATCCAATCTAAACCTCCCTTGGCGCAACTTGAGGCCATTTCCTCTCGTGCTATCGCTAGTTAGTTGGGAGAAGAGACCAACACCCACCTCACCAGAACCCCCTTTCAGGTATTTGTAGAGAGCGATAAGGTCTCCCCTCAGCCTCCTCTTCTCCAGACTGAACAACCCCAGTTCCCTCAGCCGCTCCTCATAACACTTGTTCTCCAGACCCCTCACCAGCTTCGTTGCCCTTCTCTGGACACACTCCAGCACCTCAATGTCCTTCTTGTAGTGAGGAGCCCAAAACTGAACACAGATTTGAGGTGTGGCCTCACCAGTGCCGAGTACAGGGGCACGATCACTTCCCTACTCCTGCTGGCCACGCTAGTTCTGATACAGGCCAGGATGCTGTTGGCTGTTGGCCAACATCTTCCCCACCCTGCGCTGATGCTGACGCAGCTCTGTGCAGCTCCGGCAGTCGTCAGTACCAGTGGAAAATATGGCTCGTTATCCACCAGATCCTCCCAACAGCCCATGTGGGAGGCATCCCCTCCCTCCCGCTTATAGTGTAAGAAAAGGTGAAACAACCTGCCCAAGGCACGCAGAGAGCTGGGGATGAGCTCAGGTGAAGGCTGCTGGGGGCCTCGCAAGTATCTTTGCTTGCTCGGATGGCTCAGACTGTGCTCGTTTCCAGACAGTAAAGCCTCCATTATACAATATATTTTTTGCATGGGTTTGCCAGAGTTGTAATAAGCTTATCAAGGGGATAACTGCTAGGATAAACCCTACAATCTTTTCCATCAGTCAGGAAGAGAAATAAACAGAAAAAACAGTAAATTCAGCTTTGTCAGATGTGTCAGGTGGCCGCAGGCTTTCCACTCTGACGAGCAGTCAAGAGGACTCCTACAACCAGCGCTCTGCGTCCGCTGGCACAGGAAATCACCTGCCTGGTCCAGACCTCATATCACAGGCTGCTGGTTTTGTTTAAACCGATTTTATGCAACTGCACTACCAGCAGCACTAAAATAGCTCCGTAAACATTACCATGTGAGCCGGCGCGCTGCTCCAACGCACTGGATACAGTTATTTACCAAATCCTAGCTTAACACATATGTCATTCTCTGAACTGCCTCTTTGTCTTATGTAGATGGATCAGTAACCTTTAAAGCACTGTTATTCTCTCTTGGTAACAAGGCTTGGGTGCTGTTTTTTGTATGCCACAGAGCACTTTTATAAGCACCATAGAACTTCGTATGAGCACAATCTGCAAAATCAGAAGCCGGTCAGAGTGCAGCTTTTCAACTTGCCTTGCAAGCAAATCCTGGTTCCTTCCCTGTCACTGCCCTCCAGCCTGGTGGGGAAGAATTAACAAAAACAGAAAGAATTTGATACTCAAACAAGAGATTTTAGAAAGGCAGAGAAGAGCAGGGAGATAGTGAACTCAACACTCTTCCAGGAAAGGAGGAGGATCCGTTGAAAACCTCCTTCACAGAGGCTCTCAAAGAGGGGTTCGGACAGCAGGGGAGGCAGTGATGGGCAAGTTGTAAGAGTGCGGCACAAACAGCGGCGGTGTGGGGAACACAAGTGGTGAGATTTACTGTCCCCAGGCGTAAGCTTGCACTCCAGCGTGATACAAAGCCGTTAAAGCACAAGGAGTTCTGCAGGGCCGCAGCTGCCCTGGTGCAGAGGGTGCTGATTTAGAGAGAAGGTTGCTTCTCCAAGCTCCTCTGCGGGGATGTCTCTGCTGAGCGAGCCCCTGCCTGGCTTGGCCAGGGAAGATGGACATGCAGGCGGGACGAAGAGCACAGACCTTTCCCTGTTTGTGCTAGACATCCACCTTCGGGAGAATCACCAGCTCAGTGCTTGGAAGAAGTTGCCGAAGAGGCATTTTTATGACCTGCCGTTGGTGCATTGAAAATAAAAACGTGATGATAGAGCTTGGCCTGTCAGGCAAAGGGAGATGGGGAGAGGGGAGATATGAAGAAAGTGTGGGCCCTGGAAATCCAGGCCCTGGAAGATTTAACTGCCAGGACTGCCTTTGGGAGAGAGAAATAAAACCAGACTGGTCACATGAGGAGCGCAGCAGAGCAAGAGCCACGTCTTGGGGCTTTTGCAATTCATAGCTAAAACCTCTCAAGCAACCCTTCCAACCGATCCCACCGGCTGGGTGCAGAAGCAACAATCCTGTTGCTGCGCTGGTGTCCTCCACGTGCTGGTTCCCCAACCAAAGAGTCTAAAAAGAGGAGTGAATCCATCTCACAGAACTGTGAATGAAGTCAAAATATCCATGCACAGCTCCTTCAGGAAGGTCCACCCAGCATTTGCTATTGCCATGGTCGCGCAGTTCTGCAAAGCTCTGAGCAGCTTGTGCATCTGACGGGAGCTTGGGTGGTGCACCTTGCTGCACACCAAGCACAAATTTTCACTCATCATCTTTATCAGAAATAAGATCTTAGATCTGGGTCTATCTTCCCTCCTATCCACTGTCAGAGCTATTTGTTCCTGGGCGTTGAAAATGCAGAAGTCATTACGGTAAAGATGGTACTTTTCATGGTAAGTATGAGCTCCTACTTTTAGAAAATAAGTACCTATTTAACTAAGAGATTTATAATAGATCAAGCAGTGTACAGAGTACAAGGAATGTGAGAGCTACGATCCAAAGAAACTAGTCTAGTGGTAAGATTGGGCATGAAAACAGTTATCTGTTTGGTATCTTTAATATTAATTTATTCAAGAACCTCATCTCTGGATAAATACAAATTAAAAATTAAAAGCCCTTGTAAAGTAATGCATGAAACCAAAGCACTATAGAGAAATTTGGAGAAGCAAATAAAACTGCCATCTTACTACAAAGGCACTGCAGACACAGGGCAGAGGGGAAGGCAACTTGGAAATAAAAAAAAAAAACCCGAAAACCGACCCAACTGCAACACGGAAGGAAGAGAGGAGGAGATGACGGTGGTGGCAGCAGTGAGAGTGGGGCAAGAAAAGACACCACTTAAAAAAATCAATTCATAACATCACCGCAGCAGGGTGCAGAAGGAAATATTTAAACCAGCAATTTTGAAAACGTAATCCAGACTGCCTGGTGCGTGACACCTTCTGTTTGCACCAGGCAAACAGGCTCCTGCCGCAAGGCTCCTGTACTCCGGCCCCTGGGAATAATCCCCGAGGTTGCATTAGGTTCAGAGCTCAGAGCTGCACAGAGCCGACTGCTGCCATCAAACTTAAAGCAAGGAGCAAAATAAAACTGTGTTTTTCAAGGCCAGCGAGAGCCAAACGGGGGCCCATTTCAGTAAATCAATGGTATTGTGTAAATGTTTTAGGCATAATACTGGGCAATACTAAATAGCATCCCTGGAATGTGCAGGAGTGGTCAGCGAGAGCAGCAGGTCCCCAGCCTGGCTGAGCTACATCACCCACTCGCACAGGGCAGGTCAAGTTTGGAGAAAGCCCCTGGGGGCTGCCGGCTGCAGGCAGGGGCAAGGGGCTGAGCTGGCAGCAGCAGCTCAGGCAGCCAGGCTTAGCCTGGCATGGAGTCCCCATCACTCTTAATGCCCTTATCCTCATCCAGCAGCCCGGTGTGGTCAGGCAGTGGTATTTCTCCCACTTTCCAGATGAGGGACAGAGATACAGCAGCATACAGGCAGATATCTGCAGATACAGATTACATCCAATGATGTATTTAATATCCCATTGCACATTTAGGTGCTTGAATTCCCATAAAATCAAGAAGGTATAGACTTCCATGACGTGGGATGGCATCAACAATGTGTGGCCAAATATCTCCCTGAGTCCCAGTCTGGTCCATAAGCAATTGGACTGTCCTCCTTAAACCAGCCAAAACTGTGACCATGGATCAACAGAAGTCAGCCTTGCCAGGATAGACCAACAACTTTGGCATCCAAAGCAGTGGAGGGAGGGAAAACAACCTTCCCCTTCTGGGGGATGTGGAGAGAACTGGCCTCCAAATGGTGAGGTTTGGGGTTCAGACCACCACAATTAACTACCTGCGAATGCTGACTTGCAAGAGCTGCACTGAAGGCAAGTGGTAGGTTTTTAAGTATCACCAGGGAAGTCCTCTGGTGTCTGGTGGTCCCTCTGGACAATCATCAGCCTCCAAACAGTCATTGCTTCTAGCATTGGAGACAGTGCTGAGCAAAGTAATACACTCAGTTTCTTGAGTCAAGAGCAGACTGCATAGCTCAGATGGTTGACAAAAGGCTAACTCTAATAAATATATAATACCCAAGGGGTTATCTAAGCAGCCAATAAGATACAGAATCTTTTCTTTTCTGTACTGAAGTTACACTCATTCTGTATGTGGCATCAAAAGAAATACAGATTTTCTGACAGATTTATATTTCCCACTGTTACTAAAATGCATCTCCTTCTTAAAGCCGCAGCTCACACCACTCTAATCCTTCCTGATTTATCTCCAACCAAGCCTGCAGCCAACAACTGAGGCCCTAGCTTTGTACCATCCATGTCACAAATGAGATTTTGATTCTAAATGATCAGATATGGGGATCAGATTTTGTAATCACATACATTTTGTGCATAGCCTGCATTCCCTTTCTCTTTTTTTATCTGAACTGCCCATCCCATCTCCTACGCACCCTCATGTTTGAAATTGCACGGGGATGGTTTCTATTTTAAAAGAGGCATTCATGGGAACAAAGAAGAGTGAGGCTGCTGAGATTATTTTTACCTGAGCTCTGATTGCAGCATCCTTCTTAATCCACTTTATCACTGTTTCATACACCAGCTCCTCTGCTTTGGTGTTCAGGCTGTCATTGGACATGTAGGAAATGAAGTCGTCTTTTGAGATATTAAGGATCTCTTCTTGGTTTGCCACCTCTGGGAAAATCTGCAGGGCGTATGCTTTGGCCATGTTGTATAGTTCAGTGCACTGCATGGCTTCAGCCATGGCTAATATTCCTAAGCAGTTGCTAGCCGTCAGCTGTTTCTCTAAAAGGAGGGGGGAGGAAAAAAAAAGCAAGTGAGAATTATTAAAAGCAAGATTCACATTTTTACTGAGATTATGAAAAAAAAAAGTGTCATGGACAAACCTCCAAACCTGATTAACTTCAGGGAGTTAATTAGAAGCAGCATCCTCGGTTACTTTAGGACTGGGGCTTAAAGTACAAAATCAAAGTCTGTCTAACATCTGAGCTGGGGATGGGGAGAGAAACGCACTTTGTGAGTTTGCTTTTTGTGTAAGCCTTCACAAGGCACTGGGAAACCTACTGACATAATAGTATCTGGGGCTTCCCAAGGGACGGGAACCCAGCCAAGAGACTGCTGCTATTTCTACCGCCTACAATGTTGCTTTAAGAAACAGCAGAGATGTAAACGATGCACGCCAGTGCAGACACTTAAGAATAAATGCAAACAGCACTAAGGACATTTCTGAGGATGCTGCAGTCGCTTTATGATAATTTTTGCCCTGTTCAGCTACTAAGCTACTTAAAATAAAAAAAAAATCCCCCCCCTCCTTTTTTTTTTCAAAGGAACTTTGTTGCTGCTGAATGTGATGACATCCCTTATGCAAAACACAGATTATACTAACGCCTTCTGCTAAATGTTGTGTAGTGGGTTTCAAAGAAAATCATGCACAGAAGAGACAGCATTATCTCCTACCCGGCAAACGGAAGCAACGGCACACTGTGTAGCTTCGCATTAGAAGTGTGCTACGCCATACATTTCACTGTACTTTTTTCCTTTTCAGCTATTCTGAAGAAAAACCCACCAATTTCAGACATTTATAAGAGGAAACCTCAGATTCTTCTCAGCTTTTGTTAACCAAGCCACTACTAATAGGCAGAATATATTCTTCTAAGAAATAGGACCAAGAAAAAAAATAAAATAAGAGAGAGACAAACTGCAATAGATCACAAAAACATCGGTACCAGCGGCAGGCTTCTGCGCTGTCAGAGGAGAAGGATATCACATGTGGGCAGTGTCATATCCTAGTGCACTATTTCGGAGCACTGGACGGGAATGTGTGATAGCCCCACATCTCTTCAAACAAAACTCCTATCAGATTGCTTCTGCTGGAAATGCTCAGGGATTTTGCCCTACACCCAGCTTCTGCTTTCATCAGATTTAAAACCTGCACAAAATCTGTACGTGGCTTTTATTAAAATGGGATTATGACCTACTTTTTTTTTTTCCTTTTTTTTTTCTTTTTTTTTTTAAACCTGATATGAGATTAGGGGTTTTGTGTTTTGTTGAGTTTTTTTTCCCTCAATCTTTTTATTTACTTTTACAAATCCACCAATCTTGAAACTAGGTTATCTCATTTTGCATCTGTTGATTGTACTGACTCCAAGGAGTCCATTTCCTCAAGCAGACTGGAGCAGTGGCACTGTTTGCTGTCAGTAGATTTTGTCACTCAAAGACTGCCCAGAGACTGGCTACAAACTAATAGCTATGAAGCACAAAGCTCCCAAAATTTCTGCTTTTCAAAAAACAAGAACCAAAAACCTCTTCCAGGTTCCTTGGTTCTGTCTGTTGGCACAGTTTCATGTATACATATGGCTGGGGGTAAAATAATCATCTAACAGAGCCCAAAACTCTCACCATCACTTGGCAAGCTCTCAAGTCAAAGACAAATCTGACAGCGCTCCACCTTATCCTCATAGGGTTTATAATAAAGGTAATAACCGAGTTGGACTCATTAAGCAGCCGTTTACTGGAACACGATTGAAAAGACTTGCAAGAATGAGAGTCTTCTCCTTCAGGGGACTGGGTTTGCCTCTGTCAGGAGAGATTCCCATACCATCCCCAGCTGAGCCTGTGGTGTGGGGCAGAGAAGGCACTGGTCATGACTGGTTTCTTCTGAGCTGGACAGGTTTTTCTACCTCTAACAATGCTGGGCAACTGCTGCAGCCTTGTACAACGATGTCCAAGCAGTTCCATGTTGTACCTTTGAACTTCCGTCCTTCCTCTTCCCCAAGAAACCTCTCGGTGGCAGACCCAAATGACATTATCCCTGCCTGATTCAGCAAGTATGATAAGGCCATTTAGAGAGGGATCCTGGGGAGATGCAGATCGTGGTATATTCAGGAGGCTGCTGATGCACTTGTTTGCACTGCATCGCTTTTGATGCGATGAGCACCAGGCAAGGTGGGCGCAGTGATGTCTTTTTAAGATGAGGGCTGGCATGTGAACTAGAGGATTCAATGCAGGTGAGCAAGACAGAGGTTGGGGCAACAGCTATAGGAGGTATGGAAAGTCTCTATTCTGTGAACAGAAAAAACACATCCTCTATTTTTCATCTCTGACCCAAAATTTGGGGGTGAGATTGATCTCTCTTGACTCCAGTTGCCTATGGTGCAACTCAGCAATCACATTAGTACACTGTACACTCATAAACAAACAATTCCAAGAAGCAATTTGGTAATATTTTAGAGTAATCTGGTAATATTTTGGATAACGACTTCAGGATGAGCAGAACTGTGCCTTACCAATGCCTGCTACTCTTCACTGACTATAAAGGGAGCCTACAAGACTATTTAAATCTAGACTTTTGCTACATAATATAGCCCATCCCAAGTGACTCTCTGCAGTCTGGGGCACTTCTAGATGCTGACATGACAAAGACAGCTAAGGTTCTGCTCCACCTGCTCCTGAGCCATTTTCCTTTGGACGCTGACATGTTTACAATAATTGCTGTTTTTGCCACAGTGACACTTGTAACAACACATTTTTGTGGAGTTTCACCTTTAGCCCATTCAGAACATGACTGCTGACTACTAAGCTATTCCCAACGCTCAAGGACAGTTCATAACAGGCATATGAGTGGACTTTAAGGGTATCAGATGTAATCTAGTAGGTTCTCTCTGGTTTGAGGCAGTGCTGAAGAGCATACTTGTTTCTATGTATGTCACAATATTGCAGACCGGCAGCCAGTATTCTCCACTTGTGTTAAGACGTGATTTTGGAAAGGGATCCTGTGCAGAGTCATCATGATATAATCAGCCAGGCAGACAGCTAAGACTGCATTTCTGGGAGTGCAGATTTGAGATAAAGTCAGAGAAAGATGGTATGTAGGAAGGGTTACTCAGGGAGATTGCAGCAACAGTAAGCCCCCTCCGTGTGCATTAAATAGTGTTTTTTCACTTAGAAATGCTTTCTAGATGACAACTTGGATATCAATAAAATTAGCATAAATCAGCATTTCCTCTTCATACTCTGTGTACATTCTGATGGGGATCTTATCGCTCAGGTATTCCTACTACTGTCAGAAGCATGTGAAGATGGGTGACAGGTGGAAGACTTCTGAATGCATTCACTGTCCAAAAGATTTCAACTCCCCTATGAGAGCGTTCCTCATTTTTCCTATCTCCGGTTATGGTTGATGCTTCAGTTTCTCCAGTGCTGGGCCGTGCGGTTCTCCAGCTGGCCCAAAATTCTCCACCTTGGATGAACTAAAAATTAGCCATAATACTTTCTCTTGAATTCATAAGGACCATAAAGGTCTCTTCTTGCCTCGGGTGCATATGCCTATTGCTGCAGATTTCGCCACTGGTGTGTTGTTCAGTTTTTTTTGTATCTCCCTCTTATACTCTGCAAACTTTGTCTTTGTGCCCTTTGCCTGGGAGACTACGAAAATTCAGAGCTCCTGCTCTTTCCTATTCTCCTCCATGAATCTAACAGGTTCCACGAACTTCTTTAGACTTACGGAAGAATAGTTTTATTTTATCAGCAGCACACTGAAGTACACGCTCAGAATTTGTTCATTCCTGTGATGAGGATCCCTGCATCATGCACCCAAACCGTGATACCAATGAATTTCCTGAAATCCGATTTGAGCCATGACTGTGATGACAGCACAAAACAAGTATGAAAAAAAAAAGAAAGAAAAAACCCCTCAAGTCTTCAGCCGTATGGGTGGAGGAAATACCTATGATGTCCTGAGCAGTCTGCAAACATTTGCCCAGTTTATCATATGGCGCCTGCATGAACTTGTCAGCATCACTGCACCAGTCGGCACAAAACTGTTGTCATTTCCCATGGTCTAGACAAAAGCAGAGGAGACAGCATATGGGGGAGAGAGAGAACGTGGCTATAATTAGCCCAGTGAAGCTGGTTAAGAAATCTCCCATTGAAACGAAACGATATTCGTGACACATTTGCAGCATGTTCCCACACCAGAAGGTGCAAGCGGATTTGGGGTGCCTCTGCTCAATGCTGCTGAGAGGCCCAGCATAGAAACACAAGAGCTGCCTGGACATCAACCAGCTAGGACCCTGCTGCAGCTCCATGGATTAAAAAGGATGACCTGCATTTCCCCTGAGATGGTGCTGTTCTGAACAGACCTATTAATTTGGGACTTTTACTTCTTCGGGCCTCTTTGGACTTCCCTCCACTTCCCTCATTATTTAGACATGGCCACTGATGGCAAAGAACCACTGTTTATAGTGGTGAACTCTCCAGAAACCCTGGAAAAAAAACTGATTTTTACCATTTTTTTACTTTGTGGAGAGCAGAGGTGGCTGGCATGAAAAGAAAAAACACAGCCACAGAGAAGAAAAAATGCCTTTCCCTAAACTTTTTAGATGGCCAATCTTCTACTATCTCTGTAGAGTAATCCAGTTACAGCTATAAATAAAAATAAGCAATTACACTCCATGAATTCTCCAAATGAGAATACAAAATTCCAGCAACTCCCCATACATCACTGAACTTATAACCAACTCTACTATTTCATACCATAACATGGTTCACTGAATTCAAATATTAACTATCGGAAAAGAGAAATCTCACATTGATTTAGTGAAATAAATGTATTTTGGTTTTGTGACCGAATCTTTAGAGCAACTTAAACATATCTGCTTCTGGAAAGGCCGTAAGATCCAATCACTTTAAAAGGTGATGAAGGGAACCTGGGGGGAAGCAATGCTAGAGCCAGAGCCCTCACTCCAGTTGCACAACTGACGCAGCGGGATTACAAAGCGTAGATTTAATTTCCTCATTACCCACTCATTTGAGAACAGATTTTTAAACAACTGACATATAAAAAGCTGGAAAGAAGAGAAGAATACGATACCACTGATTATCTAATGATGCCTACATTGTACCAGCCTAGTGACACCACTCATTTTGCCAGCAGGTCAGCTTAGCAGTGAAAATTAACACAGCAGTGAACTGGACTCATTTGAGTTTGGTTTTGTTTTTTTTTCATGAGTGCAACATTTTCTAAACTCTCATTTTCCATCTGTAATTCTAGACGTCAATTTAAAATGAGAACTGCCCAAGAATAATCTACAGTTCGTGTGGGTTGAAGATACATTCTTCATTCTGTCTGGGTCCAGACAGAATGACATCTCCCATACCAAGTTGAGGGAGCCCGAACAGAAATCAGACGTCCAAACAAAAAATATTTGGAATTTGGACATGGGAAGTAAGTCACATAACATCAAACTCACACCTCTTGTATTAATAAGTTTGTGTTAATAATTTGTAAATTATTACTGTCTCATTAATTGATATTATACCCATGTTAGTGAAGGAGTGGCATGTGATACAGGCAGAAATTTGAACCAATGTATGTTTCATTTGAGCTCCAGTTCTGGCTCCTCTACTGCTATGACAGAAATGGAGCTGGATGGTTCCAGTTCAGACCAGTAAAGCTTAGTTAATGGAGCTGGTCACCTTGGACTGTTTTGAAATAGTCTATATTGGAAAATACACAGATAATGCAAGGAACAGGATGTCATGGTGCTCTGGACAAGGAGAATGGGCTTCTCACATGATCATGAGAGGATGGACAGAGGCACTGGCGATGATGTTGGTCTGAACACCCTCACTGGGGCAACGCTCCCCATGCACACGGGGCAGACCAGTTACCAAGGGAAGGCACAGCAACCTTTCATTCCCATCTACCATTTGTGATGACCCATATCCATAGCTGGATGGTTCCAGTTCAGACCAGTAAAGCTTAGTTAATGGAGCTGGTCACCTTGGACTGTTTTGAAATAGTCTATATTGGAAAATACACAGATAATGCAAGGAACAGGATGTCATGGTGCTCTGGACAAGAAGAATGGGCTTCTCACATGATCATGAGAGGAAGGCACAGCAACCTTTCATTCCCACCTACCATTTGTGATGACACATATCCATCACACAGTAACTCTGTATGAAAGAATAAACCCTGTGAACATTCAACCTTGAATAGCTCAACCAGATCTTGTTTACAAGAACATTGGACACGTGAAATATTTTGTCATGGATGCAAGAAAATTGCAGATCCCGACTCCTCTGTGGGAGTCCACCTCCAACTCTTTCAGTGCTTGACCAAGCTGGCCTGGTGTAGCACCCAACATTTGCTGTCTGAGTTATATGCAACCTGTGTGTTACAGCCTGGTATCTGTGCAGAGATCAACCTCTGGGAAACAAAACATCATCATGATACTAAGCATGAACCAAGATTCAAGAAAAAAGTCTATCCAAGATGTAAAAGCAGTTGCCATTCAAACAGGCTACACTTCTCCAGATCATTTTCCACTGGCCACTGTGTCAGCATTTGAAATTCAAATGTCAACCCAAATAAATAATGTGCCTTTTCAAATTTTATTTTATTGTATTTAATATTGTCTTTCCTAACTATCTTTTAAGAATTGTTAGAAGAAAGGCTTACAAACCTTAAAATAAGATCTTAAAACCTCACTAGATGGAGTGATTCTTACCTAGAAATGAAACGCAGACTTTACAGAAAGTATGAAACTGGAACTTGCTGGCAGCTTCCAGTAGGGTTTTTGCATTGGCTGAATCTATGATCAAAGAACCTGTATAAACAAACTCCAGGAGTAATTCCAGGACATCTGCAGTGAGGTTGGACATGGCCAATTCCAGCTTCTCTCCGCTTCTGCTACTGTCTCGGGGTGACCTGGTAACAGCAGACAATTAAATTATGGACACTGCACCATCCCCATTTTGTTGGCATTTATTGATTAGTGAGGGCTAGAAAATCGCTTTGCACCTCATTATATTTCTCCGTTTTTTTTGTTTTGTTTTGTTTACAGAATTGAAGAATATGAATTTTAAAATAACTGAACTTAAAAACTTTAACTGGATCTGAAAGAGAAGAGTCTTAAAGCAAGTCTTACAAAAAATCTGTTTATTGCTACTCTGCATTTTCATGCAAAAACAGTTGCAAAAGAAAACAAAAGGAAAAGAAAGAAAGAAAAAGAAAAACGAATGAGCCAACATTAATGAAAATGAGGAACAGGATTAGCTTTCAAAGGGAAACAATACATTTTAACATCTTGGTTAACATCTCATCTTCTGTGCACAATATAACTGTTAAGGAAAAAACACTCTCCAATTTCAAGAGAAAAGGTCATCTACTTTTTCAGGAATCCAGCACTGGAATAATTTTAAATGTCATGTGCATTTAAGGATACATTTAAAGACCTTTTCATAAAAAATAACAATAATAAATATTAATTTCTGTTTAGCTGGAACTTCCCAGTATATTATATTAAGTATAGATATAATATGCATATACAGATGGTCAGGTAATATATATATATATATATATGCTTATTCTAAAAATCTATTGTTCCCTTTTAGGCACTAAAAAAAGAAAGCCCTTCATGGCAATTGCTTTGAAAACTGAATACGAGACAAGATAGACAGACAAAATGGTTAGAGCAAAGAAGGGAGAGGGGGGAAAACAACAACCAGCTCTGCCACAGGAAGCCAGCAGCCATCCTCTAGGAGTTTCATGACTGTGGCCTACGGTTTTTCCTGCATGAAGTCCTGAACAATTTGGGGATCAAAGTATCTCCTGCATTTGAAGTGTGGATTAGTGCTCGTGAAATTATTGGACAAAAAGAAAATTATACTGAATTAAAGTAAGGGCCCAGTTCTTAATGCATGGTTGGCTGATGTGTCTGCAACACTAAAGACAGGTTACACCTGAAAGACAAAAGTGATAATAAATTTGGTAACATCAAGGAGGGGAGGGGAATCTGTTGGAGTAAGAAAATAAACTCTTTTAATGGTTAGGACCATCCAGCACCTTCTCAAAGAAACATGAACTTCTAGTCACTGGACAGTCAGTGTCTGCTCGCTCCAGTTCTGCTAGAGTACTTGCAAACGCCGTTGCACGATTGACACAAAACCAGCATACGATGCTGCGGGACTTACATGGACTGGCCAAAGCATCACTATTCACGGGCAATGCCAGCTTTAAGCATGAGCAAGAGCACTACCGACCTTGTGGACTCACAAAGCTGCCTAGAAAGGCGATGGTCAGACCTCTACTACCACAGTGGAGGAAAATCAAACAACATAAGAGGTTCAGTTTTGTTCCCTCATAAAACAACATGACATCCCACCCCAATAACTCCTAAAATAACTTGCGAAAATGCTTAAAATTTGCAGTGCATGCTTTGTCACTGGTCTTCCATTGACTAGCCCTGTTCAAGTCAAGGGCACAGCTTTAATTTATACGAATCTTTGCAGGATCAAAGCTTTAAAGAGGTTTTATTTTTCTACTGAAAATATTTAGATGGTGTCCATTATGACAATGGAGGAGCAGTGGGCAGTCCTTAATTTCATATGCTTCTCTGAGGTGGTGAACAACGGTTACTCCCATTCACAAAAGGAAACTGAGGCACAAGGAAACAAAGTCACTTGCCTGTGATCATAAAGTCAGGGGCAAAACAAGGAACAAAACCCCATTTTTTTATTCTAAATATTAAACTATCCCTTTGCATGGGAATACAGGTGGGTTAGAGCCTATTCCACAAGCAGATGGATAAGAACACATACTGATCACGATAGCTGTGTTACCCCTACATGCACAGATGTGTGTGCTACCCTGAATCCTTATGCTTTATCACACCACAATTTCTTTCTGAACTCTTGCATATGGATTCAATTTTGCACTCAAGGCAGAAAACCTCAGGTGTCAAAACAGAAGAGCTGCCATTTCCTAGATCCTCAGGAGGATGTCACAAAATGTTATTTTTTTCCTTCTCACACTCACATACCAATAACATTCCCCGTACCTGATTTATCTCCGGTTATGCACACATTCGGTGCTGCACCCTGAGCTATCAAAATGCCTCCTGGTACCGATGTAATCCTTGCTGAATTGTTTCCAGAAGTGGTTTCTACCTGACAGAGGGCTGGTTAGTAAGGACATTGCCTAATGTTTAAGTGAGATTTGGAGGTACCCAGCAAGTGACAGAATCAGGCTCTTCGCACCGCAGGGAGCCCCCCTGTGAGCAATTATTTATTTAATGCCACTAATTGCACTGTGTCGGAGACGGCTGTGGGACTGACTGCGCGTGACCCGGCAGCAATCGCATGCTCTCTCCCAGCGCAGAGGCGAGGAGGCGCAAAGGAAAGGATGACGTGACACCAGTGTCAGCGTAGACACAGACCCATGTTAGCAACAACTGCAAGCTGCTATTTTTCAGAATAATTAAGTAATAATCTCTTTTACTTTGTAATACACCAAGCAATAAACTGCTGCTGCAATTGATTAAACGTCAAAGAAGAGCTAAGGTGTTTAATCAATCACTAGAGCCACTTACGGCAAGTATAATACAAAACTACAGAGATTATTGATATTACACAATGAGCCAGAAATGGGAAAGAAAATTATCCCTATTCCTTCCTCTGCGATGCCTTGAATGTGTTGTGCTGCTTCGCTCCTGCTTTCTAAGCAACGAGCGCTTTGGGTTCACGTTTAGCTGGACCAAATACTGAGCCAAAGGGAAATCACAGCCACCCTGGTTTCCATGCTGGGGATCTGGCTTGGTACGGGCTGGAGAACGGATGGGGAATTGGCTGAAGCAGGTCCTAATGGATCAAAAATGAGTTTTTGAAGGACTGGAAGAAAATAATGTGGGGACACAGACTGATGTGACTGAAGTGGGAAATGCAGAGAGAAATTTCCATACATTTCTCCTCTGAAATTATTTCAGTGAATGAGTTGTGGCATCCCCCTCCAAGCCTGACTAAAACTTTCTGTGTTCCTTCTTTTCACATGTATTAAAATGCCAATATGCTCTGTGCAGTTATACCTCATATATTTGGGATGGAGCCTTCTCTCAGCTACTCTAGAGGAACTCAAAATGCTGTGGCTAAAACAGTATTACAAGAACAGAATTTAGTCCTGTAAATGCATACGCAGTGGATTGGGGAAAATCTGTACGAGTGTATACAGCCGTGCCCCAAAGGGCTCATCCTGTATCACAGGAGGAGCTTTGCCAGTGCCATCGGTAGATGCAAACAGTTAGAAAAGTCTGCTCTCAGAAAAACACTGACTTCTTGCCTTAAATGCTGGGAGAAGATACCACTGCCCCTGGTACGTACGCTGCTGCCACAAACACGGGGTATTTTGGGGGATGGAGAGCCTGCCTGCTTCGTGTTTCAGTCTCACTTGAAGCCAGGCAAGGTACACTTATTGTCCGTGGACATCATTAAATGTGGCACATTCTGCTATTTGCCCTGCGAACTCTAAAGTTTAAACAGAATGATGTCATTTTATTGGCCTTGTAATCATTGCTCATATTATAAAGGTCACACATTTCACATTGTGGCAGAAAATCAATAGCTCTGCCAACAGCCTCTGGGGGAAAAAGTTTTGCTTCTGAAGAATAATATATAATAAACAATTTTAGTCCTTACTTTATCATGGCTGTAATCTTGGAGAATAGTTACCGTAAAAATCTGGCAAAGGCTGATATATAAACTCATTAAAGTTAGGAAGTGATTTAGAACAGGACTTTTAAAAAGATTTATCTTGAGCTAAACGGCAAAGAGGTTTGTTTAGGTCTGCATTTAAACAAGCTCCAAGAGCTCTTTAACAGCTTAATTTTGTGGTAGCTGTTGGGGAATTCTTTCAGGTTTACAAGTCCTGTATTTCTCCAGCAAGGTGATAGACCTGAGCGACGTGCAAGCAGAACTGAACCTGCAGATAAGCAGGAAGCACAGACACACTCTGAATGGGCAAGGGGAAGTTACTGGAAAAGATTTTGTATTTTCTGGAATAATTTGGTGTAACAAAATAAAGCCAAGGCATTTGAACATACTCTGGCTTCTTATGCTTCAACTTAATTACTTAAACTAGAGAAGACAAAGGCACAGGGAACCTTTTAAAGCAAAAGATGGCTCGACTACACTCTCAAATAACAAATCAAAATCGGTGTCCCTTTCTGTTAACTAATATACAGAAAAGAGCTAAAGCGTTTAAATACTGCTAGCAAGGAAAATAGCTCTAAAACCTCATCTGCAAGATTAGGAGTGGATCTGACAAAAGAAAAAGTAGAGAACTTTACATTTTTGGTATTCATTTGTCCTTGAAAAACATTTCCATACTTGTAATACACACAGACAAGAATCAGCACTAGTGTTTTCGTGCTTAATAGTGATGCAACTGAGTTTTCTGCATTATAAATATACGTATATCTATGCATTTTCCCTGCATTATTCGTATCAACATGTTCACGTAACCGAACTCCTGTGTGATTCAGTTCAAAACATTTAATAGTGAGATGCCTTGATTTGCAAAGCCGCATTTAGAGTCTGGCTAAAGTAGCTGTGTAAGTGAAACACCACTAGCGCATCAATTTGTCAATTTATAGACAACGCTACCATCTCTAATTCAGACTTCCCTCATGGTTTGGATATGCTGCCTTTAACCGGCTCACAACATTCTTTTGACTGACTAATGGTTTGGCTACAGGCTCACTCAATTTTACATCAAATACGAAAAGCTACCTATACCCAGTGCAGATGCCAGCCAACTCTCTGTTTACAAGCTATAGTCAGAAAGTCAAAACAAATTCTGGATGTTCAAAATGGAGCCATCTGCACAGAATAAACATGAAAAATGTGAAACATTTTATGTAAATGTACATTACTGCC